CACGCAGGTGTGTAGGAAGTGGGCATATTCTGAATAAGGCTGGGAGGCTGGAAAGAGGCTGGTGGTGGCAATGGAGGGTAATAAGACGTAAAGCTCCCTTTCCATGCAGGCCTAACTGAGGTCCTCCTCTGCTCTCAATTCTTTCATGGCTCCCAAGTGCTCTCAGGAGAGAATCCAAGCTCAGTTTAGCATCAAAGGCTCTTCAGGGTCCAGCCCATGCTGATTCTCTGCTCATCTCCTGTGTCTCACTTAACTCCTCCTCAACTTCAGCTGTGCCCCTTCATACCTCCAGGACTTTGCAAACCCAGTTCCTTCTGCCCATATCCATAAGGACGAAGACATCCATCTAGCTGACCTGTTTCACACCCATCATAGGGCCCAGAACACAGTAAGTACTTCTGTTAGTAAATAAATGAAATGCTTTCACCACCTGACAAGCTCCTATTCATCCTTCAAAGCCTCAGTTCTAATGCCTATCTTCCATGCAGCAGAATTTCCTGCATCCCTCCCTCAGACCCAACACTGACCACTGTGGCTGAAGGTGCCAATGTCTGCTTCTATCTTTCCATCAGAGGACCCTCTCCTGCCCAGTATAAAGCAAGTCCCCAAAAAGCTTTCAAGATGTGTTGGCTGAAGGAATAAATAAATGCGTGTGGTCCCACTACGTGTTCATTATGGCCAGGTTCTCATCTGCCAATATTAGGGGTGAAAGAGAGAGACAGGAGCCTATTTCAGAGATAACTCCTGGGTCCAACTCCAGTGCCAGAACTTCTCAGAAGAGACCTGCTAACTAAGCCCCACATCAGAAGGGGACTCTGGGGCTCCGAAGACCCTTTGCTCCTTTCCCACCAGGGCAAAAGCTCCATCCTCCCCCCACCCGAAGCTACCAGAGTCAGCGCTCCTCTGGGCCTTCGCACATGCTGTTCTCTCCACCAGGAATACCGTTCCCCCTCACAGGTCCTTCTCACACTTCAGGTCTCAGCTTAGTCACATAATACGCCCAACTGCCACTGACCAAGCACGAACTCTGTGCTAAAAACTTTATCTGCCATCCCCATCCTCACCTTCCCCACCCCCCGCTGAGATGGGAGGCTCCTCTGGCCTCCGGATTCTATAGATGACAAAACCAGGGCTTGGAGAGACAAACATGCCTGCCCAAGCCCACCTAGCCGGGAAGATGGAGAGAAGCCAGCTCATCTTCATGTTAAGCTCTTACCTCCTCTCCCACAATGACCGCCTCCTCCAGGAAGCCCTCCTGCCCTCCACACATGTGAGGGCAGAGCCTCCTCTAGGTTGTCCCTGCCAGTGTGTGTTTCTGCCATCATAGCCTTGACATCAACGCTGTGTTCCCCCTCCTGCTGGTTCTGAACCTAGGAGGGGTCTGCGGGGTGTCTATTTGTTTTGTCCAACATTGTGTACCAGGCCTGGCACACAGCAAGTGCTCAATAGATAGTCCTATGGGTAGTGATGGGTTCACGTATTGCTCACTCTCATAGAGATCCTGTGTGTGCGCGTGCAATTCCAGCTGTGCTCAAATACGGGCACACAGTAGGTGCTCAATCAATGTCCTCTGCCTGAAGGAGGGCAGGAAAGATGTCACAGTCACTTGTAAGGCCCCAGGGGCCGCATAAAAGCCTGTTAAATCAATGAAGAGTGGGCAGCTGGGGAAACAGAGGCACGGAGCCGCCCGCCTGCCTCAAAGCCACACGGCCAGTCCCAGTGGCTTCTGCTCAGCCCCCGCCCCCAGCCACTGCGCCCTCCGATGCCACAGGGAAAGGGCTCCTCCCTCAGTCCCCCACCCCGGGCAGTGCCTGCCAGCAGCCCAGCCCGTTGTCTCCCTGGGGCTGGCACGTCACACTCGGAATCTCACGCCTCTGAGCTCAGCGTGCTCCAGCCTCCCCTCCTGCCACCAAGCAGAGCAGCTGGTGCTCCCATGGAAACCACAGGCCCCCCTATACCCCCACACCACACCGGCCCCCCTCACAACCTCCATTTTAAGATAAATATTGTCATTAACATGCAAATGCACATGTGATTACCATAAATGGGGGGCCACAGGCAGCGGCCAGCGAACCCTATCGCCAGGACGGGCATTAATATTCAGCCCTGATTAGGGAAGAGGGACACCTCAGGGCTCCTACAGGCACCCAGCCCCCTCGGAGCGAGGGTCCTGGTGGGCGGGGGGGGCTGTCCCCCATCAGGGGGCTGGAAGGGGCTGATGACTGTATACTGGCCACTGGGAGCCCCAGTCCAGGCCTCGGTTCCTGGCCTGAGCTCCTGGCTGGGCTGGGGACCCCGGGGAGGCCCCGTTCCTCTGGATGAGGCACAGATCTGGGGGGTGGGGTAGGAAGCAGCCTTGTGACCTCCTGATCCCCCTTCTCCATCTCTCATTCTGATTCCCACCCTCTCTCTGCCTCTCCCTGTGTGTGGGTGGGGGGTGGCACGCGCTCTCTCTCCCTCTCTCTCTCTCTCCACCTCTCTTTAAAAAAAAAAACCAGCCTGCCCTCTTTCTAAGGACCCCTTACTTCTTGTCCTCTCCCCCAAGCCCTGTCCAATCCCCAAAGCCCAGGGGATCTGCTGAACCCCCTGCCTTTCTCTTGGTTCCAGCAAGACCCCCCACTGTACAGGCCCTTAGGAATTGGAAGGCCCCCACATACAGGCCCCACCACGGGCTGTGGCTGTCAGATGTCACAGCCACCTCCCCCATGCCATCTTTGGGGAGCCTCATCCTCATCTTGGAGGAACCTGTCACCCCTTCATCACACGCATATACTTCTGCTTCCCCTGGCCTGGGAGGGGGAAGGTGTGTGACAGTGGGGAGGGCAGCTCTGGTTGGTCCTTGGGACCCAGAAGTTGGCCCTGTGAGCCTGTTTCCTTTTTATATGAAATCTGGTGGTGCTCACAAGCCCCCCTCAGTGGAGCAGCGCTGGTTGGTCCTTGGGACCCAGAAGTTGGCCCAGTAGTTGGCCCTGTGAGCCTGTTTCCTTTTTATGAAATCTGGTGGTGCTCACAAGCCCCCCTCAGTGGCGAGCCCTTTGGTGAGAGATCAAACAGGCCCCTGAATGTGAAAACTAAGGAAGAGATGGATGGTCATAAGGATAATGACAATGCTGGGGGGTGGGGGCACGGTGACCACAGTGGATGTTTTGACTTAACGTCATTCTGGCCACTGCAGCTGACCTGGTGCCCAGCCTCATGGGATTCTCCCAGCAGTCAGGGGCCCAGACGGCTGGGCAGGAGGGAGGTTTCTCTCCACCACCGGGCCCAGACCCCTCCCCCCCGCCACACTCCTCCTCGGCCACATGGAGGAGTCAGATGTTAGTTGGTTCCCCAGAAACGACACCAGAGAAGTGTTCTCTGGGAGGTACCTGGACTTCCCCTCCCCCCACATCCCATTCATCATTCCACTTCCCTTTGCTTGAGGCCCAGAGAAGGGAAGCCACTGGCCAGAGGTCACACAGGCCTCCATCCCAGCTGCTGGCACTCGAGACACCCCCACCTCCAGGTAAGGTCCCTCCAGGCCCAGGACCAGGTGGGACCAGGGGGTCGGGATCTATCCTTGACCTGAGGGTACAGGGTGAGGGCAGACAGGAGGGAAAGCCCCCACCCCCTTGTTACCTTCAGGCCCTACATCCAGGGCTCAGACTGGCCCAGGGCCCCTGTGAAGAGGATGAGGACTGAGTGTCATGGACACCCCGCTTCCTAATTTAAGCCTCCAAGGAAAGATGGGAAATGGGAAAGACCCTGACCCCCCCCCCCCAATCCCAACATTCTCCAGCCAGAAAAAACACCCCCGCATTCGTGGGCCCTGCTTTGGTAACAGGGGGAAACTGAGGCTCTGGCCCAGGTGAGCCTGGGCTGCAGCTCCCCCCTCACCTCTTCTCGCTTGGGGGAGGATTTCCAGGGGAGATTTAAAAATGAGGAGGAGGCACCTCTGCAACCCATTGCTTCCCTGCCCCAGAGCTCGCCAGCAGCCTTGCAGCCCAACATTTGGGGGGCCACATGGACACCCCCTGATTCCCATCAGAATCTTTCTAGCAATGGGCTCTTCAGACATACCAGAAAATGACCAAAGCCATGGAGTCCAGAGGGGGTGGAGTGTGGACAGAGCCCTCTATAGAGCCGTGGATTCCTGAGCTGGATTTTCATGGGAAAGTGAGCCCTCTGTCCTCCTGGGCCACCTGGAGGAGTTAGATTTCCCAGCCCCCCCCCTTCTTTTTGTGATGATAGAATTCAATAAAAGGCTAAGGGGGGAGTCTTTCCTCCCTAGGGTATTAGCTGAGGTCTAGCTGAAGTGACAGGCCTGGGCTCCATCCTACCAGACTCACATTCATTCATTCATTCATTCATTCATTCAACAAACATTATTCATGATTACCATGCTGACACACGGAGGGGAGGATGGAGGTAAATGATTCTGAAATAGGTCATGGGCTCTGGTCCACCCTAAGGTCCCTCCAGGGTCTTGCCATGAGTGTTCAGTGCAAAGCCTTTGCCATCCCCAACCCCAGCCCCCAACAGCCAACAGAAGAGCTGTCAACGCCACCCCAATTCAGACTGTGCTTATGATCAGAGTCCAGGGCTGGGGCACAGTCCCTGGGCACCTGCGCCCAGCGTGCCATCGGAGAGAGAATCAGGTAGGAGGAAGGCAGGCAGTCCTCCCCCCCAACCTGCCTCCCGCTGGCTGTGCAGGCCGCCCACACCTCCCCTGTCCACCCCAGGATCTGGGCTCTGCCAGATGGACAGCCCAGACGCATCATCGTTGGCCTCAGACCTCAACACATTGCTAACGGGATCGGCTAGTTTTAACTTGAGCCAAAGGTGGAGGCATGGAGGGGGAGGGCAGAGAAATGGAGGGGGGAATGCTGATCCAAACAGAGAGGGTGGGCAGGGGGGAGGGTGAACGGTAGCATTTGAGCCACCGGAGGCTGGTGCTCCCCCCTCAGCCTGGCTCAGCTCCCTGCGCCCCCCAACCCCCCTCTGGCTTTCTTTGTAGTTACCGATTAGCCCGGGGTCCTGGGCATCCGTATGTCCCGGAGGCCAGCTGGACCTGCCCCACCGGCCTGGCTTTGTGAAAATGACCAAAGCAATGGAGTCCAGAGGCGCAAAGTTCCCCGACGGGGCCTGGGGAGGCCGAGGGAACGGGGGGAGCAGGGAGGGTGGTGGTATTCAGGCAGGTCCCCCAGCAAAGGGGCAGGAAAGAGTGGGTGAGGGAGGGAGGAAGGGTGGGGGTTAGGGGGAATGGGAGGGGAGAGAGAGAGAGATGCTTGGGGGGTGGAGAATGGGAGGTAAAGGGAGATGGGAGAGTAGAGAAAGGGAGAGAGAGAGAGAGGGAGAGAGAGAGAGAGAGAGAGAGAGAGAGAGAGAGAGGGGATGCCGGAAGGTGGAGAGGGAGGGAGAGGGGGTGGAGGAGGGGAGGGGGCCAGATCGGATCTGTCAGCTGCACCCCCAGAGGGAGGAGGAGAGGGTGGGTGGAAGGGGGGAGAAATGATGCCGTGGCAGAGGCAAGTAGAGGGAGGTGGTTAGGAGAGGAGGGCTGGGGGAGAGAAGATGCCGGAAGGTGGGGTGGAGAGAAGGGAGGGGAGGGAGGGGGCCAGGGCGCCCACCTTTGTGCATGCCCGTGTAAGGGTCTTTGAGCACCGTGAGCTCATAAATGCGGCCGAACTGCTCGAATAGCGGCTTGAGGTCCTTCTCGTCCAGGTTGCGTGGGATCTGGCCCACGAAGAGCTTGATGGCGTCCAGGTCCTTCATGCCGTCG